CTTTCCCCTGGATGACGAACGAGTCCGGCATCAGCCCGTGCCAGTGGTAGAGCTGGTTGAACTCCACGGCAATGCGATTGCGGTACTGGAACTGCACCCCGAAGAGCAGCTCGGGGTCGAACTTGAGGCTCAGGAAGTACCCGCTGAGGTGCTGCACGTAATCTTCAATGACTATCTTAATGGTCTCCCCTAGGCAGGAAACGAGAGAAGCAGATGTCAGCTGGCAGCAACTGGAGAAGGGCTCCAGGTCGGCCCCTTGGGATGTCACCCGCATGCTGCAGTGCTACACACAGAGCAAGGCTCTCCAAGGGCCGCGTGTCCCTCAGGCACCTCGAGGAGGCCCATGGGGGCCTCAGCACCCTGAACCACCTGGGACCGTTCTGACCATTGGCTTGTTGAGATGGCTGGGAGTTTTTTCAGTGAACTGTTTTTTTCACCAGTCAAAAGGTTGGTTTGCCCAAACCAGAATCGTTCATGAGCAAGCTGACCTTGATACACTTCTTAGAGATTAAAAATGGGTGATTTCCAGTGTGGGGACATGGACCACTTCTGGATTTTGGTTGAAAATGATATTTCATTGCATTATAGTAAATTTATAATAGAACATTAAAATGACATAATTCAAAATTATGACAGTTAAACTTTTTGATGGGCGAAGGCCAATTTTTTAAAAAATTGCATACGTTCGACAAGTGATGTATATTCACGGAGGATGAGAGCTGCTGTGAGCTGCTCACAACCTTGGACACTGTCTTTGTGCTGTCCTTGCTAACACTGTCACAGCAAAGCAAGGAGACAGATCCTCTGATGAGCTACTGTCAGCCCAACCCTTGAGGCCAAGCCCTGTAGGTGATATTTTCTGAGGACATGTAACCGGTGCCACTGAGGAACAGTCATGCTAAACAGCATGAATGTCACGATATGCCACAATAAGGTCAACAAAGGATGCCAGATAAGACCGTTCCACATGGCGAAGTTCTGGGAAATGGGCTGAAAATAATATAAGTGAAATGCTGAATAGCAGGACGCTGTGCCAGGGCGAGATATGATCCCCAGACGGCTGCCGGAAAAAATACTCCACAATTAAAGCTAAACTGGCCACCACCCTCGAAACAGAGACCTACAAACACACCCGTCCTGGGGAGCTTGCCCAAGGAGGCAGGACATGCAGGACGCCCCGTGCCCGTGCCCAGCCGCGGCGCTGGTCCTCACCGATGAGGATGAGGCGAGCCGTCTGGAAGAGCTGTTCATCGCTCCACGTCGGATGCTCCTGTTTCAGGATGTCGCAGACACGGTTGTGCTCGCGGAGCCAGAGCGTGGCGTACAGGCAGAGCCCCGGCAGGAGCCCAAACACCTCCTGCCCCATGGCCATCTGCTTCTCCTTCGGCATGCCAGGCGGGTAGACCATGTGAACGGGAGCATCAGTAACCGTCGGGGGGTACACCTCTCCGTCCACCACCTTGGAGAGACAAGAGCGCCATGGCAGAAAGCGGAGGAGGGGACACAACCGTCCCGACAAAAGCCTGTGCGGGCAGGACCTACCTCTCGATGGGCAGCACAGCTGCTCCCCTGCACGGCCCTGACCAGGGAAAACCCCTCTCTCTTGTAACCCCCACCACGTGACGCCGCTGGCAAGCACCTAGACCCCCCCGAAGCTCTTCTCTGACCTACGTCGGACAGTTCAGGGACAACCCTGCGTGGTGGTGACAAGCTAGGGCTGCAGCACGAGACCCTGTACGCCAGGTGCCTGCAGAGCCCAGGGTCTCTGCTTTGCCCAGGAGGCCGGAGGGCGGCAGCAGGACGTCCCCTGTGGACCTGCCCAAAGAGGTGTCTCCAGCCAGCAATCACCAAAGTGGGGCCCAGCAGCGCTGGGTGTGTGGTCCTGAGGGCTGGTGTCTCCCAGAGCTCCCGGGAGCCTTGGGCCAGCAGCTTCCAGAGAGGCACGGGCTTCAAACAAAAAACGAGCGTGGGACAGAGGCTGCCTTTCGGCACGTGCTGGGTCTGGTGGTACCTGGAATTTGAGCTTCCCGTCCCTGAAGAGTCGCAGCTGGTGCTGACGCTGCAAGTTGTCCCCATACAGGTGCCCGAGGTCCACCTAGAGAAAAAGCCTGGAGTCGCCCCGCTGCTGCCCAGGGCGCACGCTGCGGCGCGGCGCCCCGCTCGCAGCCCC